TGACGGGATATGATGATGCAATTAGAGTGAAGATCAAGGCACCGGTATCCCTTATGATGATCGGAAAAACCAAGATGAACACACAAGGTGGAGCGAGCAGCCAGCTTGTGTGGAGCAGTGGAAGAGAGGTAGGGGTAACAACGGCAACCAAAGACACGAAGACGATCATAGGAGCGCATGGTGCCGAAGAGGGTAAGGTGCGGTATGGAGGATTATAGTGTCTTGTCAGGAAGAATATTGAGGAGGTGAGTGGTGGTGGAGAGCTTTGGCCCAGTAAGTGTTGGCCAGGTAACACAAGTGGGGAATTCTGGATCTGGGTTTAGATGGCAGCAATGACCATGGCTGCCTTTAGCTTCATTATATAGGAAAAAGCAAACTTGGTACATAAGAAAGCATCCAAACTACTACAACATATTCTAACTGCATAAAGCAGATACTAAGCATATTCTAAATGCTAGGATAGAAGCTGGGTACAGTTTTAACAAACCGCTGGGTACAGCTCTAACAAAATCCATCGGTGGCTCGGCCACTGCCTCGCCGCGCATGGAGACGATGAAGCATGGCGTTGGCATGGACGATTCGGCCACCTCCTATGTTACACCGATACGTCGTCCAACTGCTGTACCGGTATCGCGATACGTATCTGATACCGATACTTCCCGATACGCTTCCGATACGGTATCGGGGAAGTATCTGGAAAAAGATAAATACAATTAATCTCGACACTTCTCAATACACCTCCGATACGGTATCTGGGAAGTATCGGTGCTGCAGCCAAGCATGGCGGATCGGACCTGTCGAGGAAGGGAGAGAGAATATGCAGAGCAAGGTGGGAGGGTGAATGGCTCAACATCTTCAGGAGGGATCCATGGACGGCAGCTTGGGAGCTCCATTGAAGAAGAAAGCAAGGTGCGAGGATGCATGAGCACTGCACAACAGCTTGGGATAGGCAGTGGCGGCGGCTGCCAGCAGCACGAGAATCAGTTAATGTAGGGTTTATATGCAGATGAGTTGCCCTTGTTGGGCTGTTGGGCAACTGGATTGGGCCTCTGTTTTTTTTCTTTTCCTAAAAAAAAAACTATTTTTCTTTGCTATTAAATATACATTATACTTCCCTCAAAACAAAATGTACATTATACTTATGCATATTAGTAATAGTTATTATACCATATTATATGTAGTTGCCATATCGGCGTATCCTAGTCACGAGCCCTAGTCTGAATCTTCCTTGTGTCTGTATTCTGAAAAAATCATGTATCGCCGTGTCGCCGTATCCGTATCGGCGTATCCGTATCCCGTATCGGTGCAACATAGGTCACCTCCACTTCGAGGCACTCCAGAAGTTGGGCAAAGAAGCGATGGTGCGCGGGATGCCGATGATCGACCACGTTGAGCAGCTGTGTGACGTGCATCATAATGAAGCATGAAGCAGAAGAGGTGCCCCTTCCCGCGTCAAGCTCTGTACCGCGTGCAGGAGCAGCTCGAGCTCATCCACGGCAACTTGTGCGGGCCCATGACGCCGGTGACTCCATGCGGGCGGCGCTACTCCTACTGGTGGACAACGTGTCCTGCTTCATGTGGGCGATTCTTCTACCGACCAAGGGAGCTGCTGTGGACGCCATCAAGCAAGTGCAGGCAGCCGCGGAGAAGGAGAGGGGCCACAAACTCCGGGTGCTGCGCATCGACAACGGCGAAAAATTCACCGCCGCGGTTTTTGTCGCCTACACGCCGATGAAGGCATCCAGCGCCACTTCTCCGACCCCTACTTCTCCGCGTGGCGTGCGATGTGGTCTTCGACGAAGGCCACGGCTAGGATTGGACAAAGGCAGGCCTTGGAGGCTCGGCACCGGCGGTAACAGACTTCGTAGTCGAGTACGCGTGGCCTGGAGGAGCTGCGGGAGCATAGATTGCGTCTCCAGCGGCGGCTGGATCTTATGCTCCGACGTCGCCCACATCACCGGCTCCACCATGCTCGCGTCACCAAATCCGGGGAGCCCGAAGGTATACCAGCACTGGCGGCTACTCCACCGGCGCACTGCCACTCCGCCTGCGTCCTCGGCTGCTGCTTCCCCGCTATGCCGGCTGCTACACCAGGGCATGGTGGACAACCTGTGGTCGAGTTCGCCATGCTGCTGGAGGATGACGAGGATCGTCTGGACGCCTACCACGACGATGAACCTCTGCGCTACCGCACGGTGACCAACATCATTGGTGATCAGCCACTGCCAGCCCTACGCCGTCCAGCTCCACCTGACGCACGCCGGCGTACCTGCTACCTACGCTGAGGCTAAGGGCGATCCGGCGTGGCGCGCTGCAATGGAACAGGAGCTCAAGTCCGTCGAGCAGAACCGGACTTGGGAGTTGGTCAATCTACCCGACGGCCATCGCCCCATCACCATGAAATGGGTGTTCAAGCTGAAGAAGGACAAGGCTAGGGCGGTGATCAAACACAAGGTGCGGCTGGTTGCGCGCAGTTTCGTCCAGCAAGTGGGGATCGACTACGACGATGCGTTCGCACAGGTGGCGCGCATGGTATCGGTCCGTGTCCTCGCGCTGGTGGCTCAGGTAGTGTGGCACGTCCACCACATGGACGTCAAGTCCGCTTTCCTTAACAGCGACCTCAAGGTGGAAGTCTATGTGCGTCAACCACCCGGCTACGCCGTCACCGGAGAAGAAGGCAAGGTGTACCGCCTGCGCAAGGCCCTCTACGGCTTGCATCAGGCCCTGCCCGCCCGGAACGCGAAGCTGGGCGCCACGCTCAATGACATGGGTTTCCAGCAGAGTGCGCACCAGGCGGCGGTGTACCGGTAGGGCAGCGGACACTTTATCCTGCTCGTCGGCATCTACGTCGACAACTTGATCATCACCGGCTCTGAAGAGAAGGAGGTGGAGGCCTTCAAGGCACAAATGAAGGAGGTGTTTGACATGAGTGACTTGGGGCACCTCTGCATCTACCGTTGTTCCCCACGCCGCCTGCTCTGGTGCCTGGCGGCGCTCGCTGGTGCTGCCGTGCTGGTGGAGTGGAGGTGAGCCAAAATTCATCCCTTGTCATCGCCGAGCGATGAGAGACAACAGAAGGCACAATGCACAAGCTAGGAAGAATTAGCAGGTGTGCGTGGGACCCGTGTTGTGGAACAACGTGATTTTCACTCCTCTTTTGCACGTTGTGTTTCGCTTGATTCATTGGATGTGTTGGATGATTTGGATTTTAATGGAAATGGATTGAATGGCAAGAGGTATTTTTTAGGATTGGACTGGATGGTGGGTGATTTTGGTTGGATTCTCTATTGAATTTTGTTTGTTGGACTTGGATGTCTGTCTATTGCTAGGTCTACCAAGAATCGGTCCAAAACAGTGTATTCTTCCCACTACCGATCGTGGTAGCCACTGCCATAGTGAAGAAACCTTTGACTGATGCATGAAAGGGGATGGTCGCCCATGGTTGATCAGGTTCCGCCTTCTGTAGCCAAAGCCATCTCATTCTAAGTGCCCATCCCAAGTTTTGAAGGTTGTTGATACCAAGTCCAAGTTCAATTGGTCTAGTAACTTTTGGCCAGACCAACAAATAATGTCCACCATTTATCTCCTTTCCTCTTCAAAGAAAGTTCAAAATTGTAAAAACCTCTCACAAGTAGCATACTATGTTCCTTGACCCCGTTGACTAGGGAAATTTGTGGCTATGGTCTAGCTCTCTAGTGTGTAGTTCCTCTCCACAGCTGAACAAAGCAAATTGTCATAGAAATCCTGAACAGCCCCATGTTTATCTTGTGAGATCAATCTGATCACCGACCTGAAGTTTGACAATGGAATTCTTCTTTTCTCGAAACCGGGCTTGCTGGTGAATGAACGATGAATTTGCATCCCCTTCATGGAGGTAGAGAGCTTGGGAACAAAAACGAGCAATAGCGCGCTCAAGAGAGGCTAAGCCTAGACAGTGATGCTTGAGTTTTTTCCGCGGCCACTCTTCAGTCCTCACCAGGGTAAAAATCATGAGAATCCCTCGCATTTTCAGTTCCAGTTCGATGAAGTATCTCCTTGGTCATGCCCAATTGGACCTTAATACTGCTGACCTTGTGTTGGCTCCATTTTCATAGCCCCCAACTAAGGCTGTGTTTGGTTTGGGGGCAGGACTGTTCTGGGACACAGGGGAGGGGACGATCCCTGAAACTCTTCAGATGCCGTCGTGGTAGTTGGGTGCCTCCTGTTGAGCGCCAGGCCCGCGCTGCCCGTAGTGGCTCCTTGTCGCCGCTGACCAGGCCATCTCTGCCACAACGGCCACTTCTCCGACCTGGCTCACTTCGACCGTGTCGGCACGGACGGGCGGCCTTGGACCAACGCGCAGTGGACGGCGGTGGGAGCTCCAGCGGACTCCGGCGCAACCAACATGGGTGGGCAGCAGTGCGAGCTCTAGGAGAACTCCGGTACAAGCTCCGGAAATGGCGTCCTGGATCCTCCCGTTGCCAACGGCCGCATTCGTCGGGCGCTCCTTCTGACTCCAATGGGCAAGGATGAGGAACTGGACCGACTCCTTTGCGTGAATGACTGAAGGTTGAGATTAGGCACCAGAACAAAACAACCATAGTTATAAAAAGTAGAGAAGATGACGTGTGGGTCCATGGACGATTAATTTAATGGTGGCTAACGGTGTGAAAGAGTGGCTCTCATCCTGTCTCTTCGGTCACTCCAACCAAATAGGAAACAGGGATGACCATAGCCCTCTAACCAAACATAATACTGGGACCGTCCCATACCAGATAACAGGGATATGATCGTCCTGTCCCCAGTATCCCAAAACCAAACACACCCTTAGTCGTTGCAGCTTGAGAAAAAGGTGCTCAGCGGTGCAGTTGGAGGAAAGGAGAATTTAAGCATCCAAGTTGGTAAATTTGAAATCTTTGTTTCACATTTCTGTAAATATCTTTGTAATTACCTTTATTTTTAGCTGATTGCTTTGTATTAAAAATGTCTGTGAACATCTCAAAGAAAAAATGTTGGTGCAGATGACACTCTATGGACAGGTGGGCCTGGTAATTATACAAATCCCAAAGCACCTGCTGTTCTTTCTAAAGTAAGGAGCTTTGTTGACAATGGAAAGTACCCTGAAGCCACAGCTGCTGCATATGATCTGTCTGGTGACCAAACACAGGTATGTGTTGTACTTCTAGATCGATATAAGGATCATGTAACTACACAAAAAGAATTGGAGACATTACGAATTTGAAATATTACCTATGTTTCTACTGAAGGTCTTTCAACCTCTTGGGGATATTGATCTAGTCTTTGGTAAGAAGATCAAGTACACAAATTACAAACGAGAGCTAGATCTTCACACTGCAACAGTCACCGTCACATATACTGTTGGGGAGATAGTCTACTCAAGGGAACATTTCTCCTCAAATCCACATCAAGTCATTGCGACTAAAATCTCTGCAAACAAACCAGGAAATGTCTCTTTCACAGTGTCTTTAACTACTACACTAAACCACAAGATTCGTGTAACACATGCAAATGAAATAATCATGGAGGGTAGCTGTCCAGGCGAAAGACCTCAAGAGGGCAACACTGCTGCTGATCCTCCCATTGGAATTAAATTTTGTGCAATTCTTTATCTGCAGATAAATGGTGCCAATAGCACAGTGGAAGTATTGAATGATAACATGCTGAAACTTGATTGTGCCGACTCTGTTGTTTTTCTTCTTGCAGCCACTACTTCATTTGAAAGTGCATTCATCAAACCCTCAGAATCTAAATTGGATCCAACAGTGTCTGCTTTTACGACATTAAGTATTGCTAGGAGCACATCATATTCACAGCTAAAAGCCTACCACATTGATGATTACCAGACTCTTTTCCAGCGTGTTTCCTTGCAACTATCACAAGGCTCTAATTATCATCTTCGGGGGAGTAAGCTAGTTCAGTCAGCAGAGACTAGTTCTCAGTGTGCTACTGTATCAGATTATGCTTTTGAAATATCTGACCGCACCACATTGACAGCCCTTAAAGATTTTGTGAAGCCTACGGTAGAAAGAATTGTAACTTTCAAAGACAATGAAGACCCTTCTCTTGTGGAACTTCTATTTCAGTTTGGTCGTTATCTACTCATTTCGTGCTCAAGGCCTGGAACCCAAATTTCCAATCTGCAAGGGATATGGAGCAATGACCCTTCACCACCATGGGAGTATGGTTTTGCAATGACATTTTGTTTTTCTTTATTTCTTGGATTATTAATTTTGTTTATAGCTTTCGAAGGGAAATAGCTGGAGCAGAATATGGATTTCACCCTAAGTCGATCCTTTAATTACTAGTTTTTATTTTGGGAAAATTCTGTTAAACATCACCATTTAGTTTCCACATCTTTTAGTCGTTGGTATTGTGATAATCTTTTTTGGTCTTCTTTTAGATGTTTTGCTGTTTGGCTAAGCCCTTTTTTCTAAGTCAAATTGCTATTGGAGATACTGTAATATTCCAAACACAAACAAATTAATGGCCATGTTAGAAGAATACACCATATTCTTTTTTCTCGAATTCACAGGAGAGTTGCGTATCATTATATTAAGAAGAAAAGAATGATACCATATGGCTTTAGTTTGTTTGCTAAATAAGCTTTAAATTTTCTTACCCACTTTTCCACAGCAGCTTTATGTAAGGACAACACTACAATGTTAAACTGGCCCTTGCTATTATATATTTTGATTGGGTCATGCTCAGAGACACTATCCTGGTTTACTTGCAGATGGCAATAAATTTTTATAATTCCAAAAAGATGTACATAAATCTAGATTACTTCTGCAAAGAAAAAAGCGGAAAAATATTTAGTGTCGAACAATCATGTATAAATCCAAACTTGCACATCTTTCTAATGCTGGTTCTCCTGCATTACATTAAAATTGTTTTGTTTCCTCTTTTTTCCTAGTAACTACTGATTAATAACTTTTCCGAAAATTTCTTATTTGTGTGCATTATCTTGTTCTCTTATATTTTCTGTTTCCACTATTTTCCACCATCCCATCATCCCATGTTTGAATTAACATGATGTATGATTCATTTCCCAGTGCAGCACCCCATCCAAATATAAATCTGCAAATGAATTACTGGCCTGCGCTTCCTTGTAACCTTAGCGAATGCCAAGAACCACTGTTTGACTTTATTGGCTCCCTCGCAGTCAATGGGGCTAAGACAGCAAAAGTAAGTCAATTGGCAGAAAAATCTAATGTTTATAGTTTTCTACCTTCTATACGTGAGAAAATTAGCATTTCTTTTTACTCTCTAATCTCTACTGAACGTACTGACATGTATATCAATGTGAATTTTTAGTGTTGCTCTTGCTGAACCCTGTGTTGGATATTATCAGGATGATGGAGAATTTTTCTGTCATGTTGCTAATGACTTATAATATGACACTGTAAACCTGAATGCAGGATTTTAAGTTTTAGTTACAAGCATTTCTTTAATGAGGGAGTTACAAGAACTTGTGCGCAAATATGTAGGAACCATCAATACATGCGAACTAACTAGTAACGGCATGCACTGTAAGCCTGTAAGCAGTTAGTATTGTGATTTTTGGCTAGCAGATTCTCTTTCCAAACACCTTAATGTAGGTATTTGATGTTTGTAACAAATGGAATGTAGCATTTGCATTGCAGCAGGGGATAGGAATCTATGCTTCTTGCATCTTTGAAATCAAACAATTCCACTCTATTGAAGTATAAGTGAATTGCCCACCTTTTCCTATCAGCTTAAGCTTTTGGGTTGCATTGGTCAACTCAATACGGTATTAGAGTTTGAATCCTAGTGGGTGCAATTAAATAAAATAATTGCAGCTGACTCCTATTTCCATGTTTGAGGCATAAGGGAGCAGCCTACACTTGAGAGGGAGTGTACCTTTCCCTATCAACTTAAGCTTTTGGATTGAATTGGTCGGTGTATGCAACTCAATACACTCGTTCCTATGAATAAAAATGATTGAGTGAAATATACCGTAGGTCCCTAAACTTTTCTCATGTTCTCATGTGGCTCTATTTGCTCTCAAAGTGATAATCTATGTTCTTTAACTTTCCAAGTGGTTCATTCTAAGTGTGAATTTAGGTCCATGATTGGACCTAAAGTGAACTTAGAATGAACCACATGAAAAGCTGAAGGATCTAGATGATCGATTTGAGAGTTCATGCACTCAGATGAGAATGCAGGAAAAGTTTAAGGACAACAATGCATGGTTAAACAATATTGAAGGACCTTTTTTCTCGAAAATGCAGGAGAACTGTGCTTCATTATATTTAGAAGAAAAAAAAGGGGAAGAGATCCCCAAATACAACACACACCACACCACACAAAAAAAAGTCAAAATTACATACGCACCTGCATAAACCAAGAGGCGACCAAGCTATATACTGACTCCAGGTTACAGAAAACTACTGGGGGGGGGTACCCAAGAAAGATAGCCCCCGCGCTCCAGCCAAAGTCCACAGCCAACTCTCCTCCAAAGCAGAACCCAATGCACCAACCAAGTTGGGAGTAGCTCCATCAAAAATACATCTATTGCGGTGATTCCACAAGGTCCAAGCTTAGAATCACAAGAGAGTTTAACCCCTTCCTTGTTAACCCAGCAGCGGCATTGCTTGAATTTTCCCACCACAAATCAAAAGAAGCATCTGTAGGCTGTGGACCGAATTGATGGATCCCAAAATGTTGGAGTAGAAAGAACCAGAACTGCCGAGCAAAGACACAAGACACCAGCAACATGATTAATGGTTTCCTCCTCTTGATCACATAGAGGACACTGTGCCGGGTGTGGCAGCCCCCGCCTTGCCAGCCGATCAGCCGTCCAACATCTATCGTGTGCGACCAGCCACATGAAGAAACGACACTTGGGTGTAGCCCAGGATTTCTAGATTCTCTCATATGGGCCAAAAAGAGTGGATCCTATGGAAAAAACCTTCATATGCTGACTTGGCCGAATAGTGTCCACTAGAGGAAAAATGCCAAATGTGAGAGTCTTCAACCTCCGGCTGTAGCTGGAAGTCATAGAGAAGATCCCATAGATTGAGAAACTCCACTATTACATGTCACCACGAATATCTAGAACCCAAGAATGATCAGTAAGAGCTTGTTCAACTGTGCGTCTATTTGCTGTCCTCTTTGGTATTACAGCAAGAAGATGAGTGGCGAGGTCCGCATTTGATTGGCCATTCAGCCATCTGTCTGTCCAGAAAAGGATGCGTGCTCCGCTGCCAACTTTAGAGACAACTGCTAAATTGAAGAAAGCTTGGACCTGTCCGGGAACCTGGACAGGAAAGTTTGCCCAAGGCCTGTGGGGTTCAGTTTTCTGAAGCCAAACCCAGCGCATCCGCAGTGCCCATCCAAGACTTTTCAGGTCTGAAATCCCCAATCCTTCCAGCTCCGTTGGACGGCACGCCTTTCCCCACGCCACAAGACAATGTCCCCCTTTTGCTTCTCTTCTTCCCCTCCAAAGGAATCCTTGTCTGAATTTGTCCACAGCTTTGATGGCCCAGGGAGGGAAGTCAATGGCCATAACAAGGTACATTAGCATAGCAGTGAGCACAAATTGTACCTGAACTCTCCTCCCTGCCCTTGTCATGAGGTCCGCTTTCCAACCAGGCAACTGATCAGCAATCTTATCAATAATAGGCTGGATCTGCGCCTTAGTGAGCTTCTTAAGGGAGAGGGGCAAACCTAAATATTGGCAAGGGAAATTTGATACTGCACAAGGAAGCAGGCTCTGGATGGTGGTCAGCTCCATGTCACCACACCTGATGGGTAAGACATTGCTCTTTTGTAGGTTGGTTTTAAGTCCTGAAGCATCACTGAAAAGATTGAGAATTTCCATTATCAAGTTGATGTCGCCAGCTTTCCGGCCTAAGGAACAGCACCACATCATCGGCGTAGAGCGAAATCCTGTGCTGCAGAACCTGCCTAGATAGGGGCTGCAGGAGCCCTTCTATGGCTGCCTTTGAAACCATGTGTCATAAGAAGTCCATAACTAGGATGAACAACATAGGAGATAGGGGAATCATCCTGACGCAATCCGCGCCGGTGGACAATAGGGTCGCTAGGAATCCCATTCAACAGAACCTGTGTGGAAGAGGAAGCCAACAGACCACTGACTACATCTCTCCAAATCGGCCCAAAGCCCAAATGCTGCAACACCTCAAGGAAGAAAAGGCCACGACACCGAGTCAAAGGCCATAGATATATCCAATTTGAGGAGAATTTGTGGCTGTTTTTTGCTGGTGGAGGAACCTTGCTGTTTGCTGGACCAACATGAAGTATCTTGGATAAAACGACCCTTAATGAAAGCACTTTGGTTGGGCGACAGCAAATGTTGCAGCCGGCTTGCCAGACGATTGGCCAGCAACTTTGTGATCAGCTTGGAAAAACTATGAACTAGGCTAATAGGCCGGAAATCTTTTGGTCGTTCTGCGGTGTCCACCTTAGGAAGTAGGGTGATGAAGGCTGTGTTGAGGACCTCGAAATTGACAAATTTTCTGCTCCAAATTGCCGAAACTGCAGCCATGATGTCATTCTTTATGATTGACCAGCAGGACTTGTAAAAACGACCCGTGAAACCATCAGGCCCGGGTGCTTTATCTGGAGGCAGCTGCTCAATAGTTCTCCAGACCTCTTTTGTAGTGAAAGGGAGGTCAAGTTCAGCCAAATTCTGGGTATTCAGTCCCAATTCAGTAAGGTCAACTGTATTATCCCTGTCCACACTTGTGCCCAACAAGCTATTATAGAAATCATCAATGATGGAAGCTTTCTCGGCATGATTGGTGTATATTTGATCTTCATCAACTATCTTCCCAATGAAATTTTTCCTCTTTCGATGACGGGCATGCAGCTGAAAGAGCTTTGTATTGGCGTCACCATCCTTTAGCCAATTAATCCTTGAACGCAGCCGGGCGATAGTGCGCTTAAGGGAAGCCAGCGCTAGGCTATGCTTCTTCAGGTTATTCCTCAGCCAAATTTCTCTCACGGTGAGAACTCGAGCATCTTGTGCAATCTCAAGCTGATGAAGAATTTTTCTGGCGAGGACAAGTTCGGAATTTATATGTCCGACTTTCTTGTCACTCCAGCTCTGCAACCCCTTGGAGACAGCCTTAAATTTGAGGTCCAGGGAAATAAAAGGACACGACCTAGCTGCTACAGAGTTCCATGCCACTGAAACAGCCTCATGGAACCCATCCAGCTTCGGCCAAAAGGCTTCGAAATGAAATCGACGGCGACCAGCCTTGTTATCCCGCAGACCAAGTAAGAGAGGGCAATGGTCTGAGTCATGAGAAGCCATACACTGCAATAAACAATTAGGGAATTTTTCCTCCCAATCCACTGAACAGAGGACCCTATCCAGCCTGACTAAAGTAGGGGAATGCTGCTGATTTGACCATGTAAATTTGCGACCATGTAGTGGAATTTCCTTAAGAGCAAGATCATTTATAAAACGTCTGAAACGCCCCATAGAAGCCCTGTTATAGTTGGCATTATTTTTGTCCTCATCCTTATATATCAGGTTGAAATCACCAGCTATAACCCATGGCCATAGGCTGCTGAAGAAGGCGTCTGTGTCGCCTCGGGCACAGAGCGAAGCGAGCCATCAACCGGCTCATGGCCACTCTCGCTCCCACCCCTCCCCCTCCCCCTCCCGGCACCTCCTCCTCCACTTGCCCCACGCCGTGCGGTGCGCCCCTTGCCCGACGGCCACCTCTCTCACCATGCATCCGTAGGCTCCCTCTCTCCTCCCAGTGCCGGGCTCCTCCCTTCTCCGCTGTCCCAGTTGGGCTTCCCAAAAAGAAGCGGTGGCGCGACGCTAGCCTGCCTTCTTCTTCTGGGGTGGCTCCCCCTCTGCCTGTCAGATCGCGAGGTCCCGCGCTATCCGGTGGCGCCTCATCATCTCCCTTGTCGCAATGCCTGGCGGAGAGGTGCGTTCTTCTACACCACCACCAAGGTCGCCCTCTTAAGCGCGCCTCGTCAGCGCTTGTCCAAGATGGACTGACAGCGTCCGGGTGGCAATAAGCGTTTGAAGCCGCCATGCCCCCAAGAAGCGCTCAAGGAGTCGCATGGTTCCGTCGGTGTCCCCGAGGACCTCAAAGGGAGGTGTTTCAACTGCTTTGCAACCTCTCACCGCGCCACCGTCTCGTCGTGGAGGGTCCTCGCCGCTTCAAGTGCCACGA